CCATGCGTTGTCTTTGCCATATAATCTTCCTCTACTACCGGAGACACTACACTGCAACAAGTACCATTTGGACTATCGCCCTCTTCCAAGTTTCTAATAAGGGATATCCGAAAATGATGATTGATTTTTCGGAGAAATCAAAAGTCTTTCAAGGATCTTGCTGAGAAGGGGATGTACGTTTGAGACATCGAGGAGATATGTGGTCGTCGATGTCAAATTGATTACGGTACATGCAGTATGTTGGTCCATTATTTTTCTACGTTATTAGCTCTCTGTGTCTTATCTTAGGATGAAACTTTCGCTGGATGGTAGCCTGATTGATGAACTACATGTTCAAGCGCTCACACGGTCAAGGGAAAGAGTGGGAAAGTACCTAGCTTTCTCATTACTAACCGCTAACGTTCCAGAAACGGAACATTACGCTTTCCTGGCACTTCAGACTTCCGATTTGACCAGGAATAGAAGATTGGGAACGCAACGATTCGTCAAGCTTCAAGGATGTGCCATCACAAGGCTTACAGCAATCTTTTTTTGACAGCCATTACTCGTGCTGCCACAAAGTAGGTATGCAACTCTACCGCTAGGAAAGCCAGGTTACTCCTGTCGTAGTTTACCATCCTGTGGTATGTGCATCTAGCTTCGGATTTGCATACTTTCCGGCCGCACGAGTACTCTAAATATATTGTTGGACCCGTATTAACTACAATACTAAGACGCTAGAAGCTTCATTAACGCCTTCTAGAACAAGGACATGAATATTTCACCCTCATATCGGAGACTTCGGATGCTATGGGGTCTTTATGGACTCAAGAATCATCATCATGCAACTTCAAAGCAAGGCGAGAGAAAGTAGAACAATTAAGAAACCGGTCAGACCGACCGGAACATGATGAGATATCCCGCATCGAATAGGTTACCAAGCCAAGTCATCAAAGTGCTTGGGCATGGCAGATGGGATCCTTGTCGCTTCCATATTCCATTGTCATTCTACAGGAAGTTTCAATAGATGACGTTGCATTGTCCTCTTATTCTTCACTAAATCTTCTTCTCGCTCTTGAATAATGGTTAAATTGATTGATTCCATTATTCAGCTACGACGTTGGGCCATAGAGAACCTGTCTTGCACGTTATGCAATGCTACCCTAGTAAAGTTTAATTTTTTTGATTTTTCAATACCAACTATGCTAATTACACTCTTGTTCCGCCTGTTGCATAGGCTAGCCTACCCTCCTGCCCTCATCTACCTAGGGCACATTCGGATCGATGCAATTCTGCAGGGCACAAGAATGCATACGACGTGGCCAATGCGTTGCGAGAACTTTGTTTCATACGGTAGATACTTTCCGATTCATACTCTTGGAGCACCGAATCAAAAGTAATCATTGGGCTGAAATTGCTGCGCCGCAAACAGTGATTAACGTGTATCAACCGTCCCGAAAACACTCTCTTTGGTTTAGGTATGCTATATTTGATTGACTGCAGCATTTACGAGGTAGGAATACTATTCTAGCGCCTCTACACCTCGTGGCATTTCTGGTTTTGGAACATTCTGATAGATCGCCGAGATTACATGCTCAGCAGATACGTCCAATGGGGAAGAGGCTGAAGAAGCACTGGCAAAAGAGTAGACAAAGTTGACTACTCATCCTTACCTATAGTTACATCAGTGCATTTAGCATGAGAACTAATAAACGGGAAGATGTCATACCCTTATGTTTTTCCCACAGCCGAAGAGCTTTTGCCAGTCAGTGGCGCATACCACGTCTTTCCCTTTCTGCTGAACAGTTCATACATCAAATTCCTTTGGGGGTAGATCATGGGCTTGTTTCACTCCACTAAAGGACGTCTATCCCACTTATGCGCCTAATGATGCTTCAAATACTCGCTTCATTGTCAAGACTGGGTTAATCCCTGAGAATTTCGATTCTAAGTTTTTGTCTCACCAGCAATATGCCTTGCTATTCGTGTCCTGAAGATTTGCAAAATGGATTTGCAAATGAAGGGAACATCCTATACTCTTTTGTATAGGAAGCATTACCGCAATGCGGCTTCTGTCGTGAGCTTTGATTTGAGATGCGATCCTGACTAGCACTCAGTCGCGTTTGGTCTCGAAATCACCACGTGGATCTCGAAGATTGAAGGAGCCTCGTTTCTTCTAGAGTATTTTACGTCGCGTGAGGCGGCTCGCATCAAGCCATATATCATGACCCTCGCTGAGATGAATGATTCAACAATTATAATATTTGTCACAATTATACACCGCCTTGAGGGTCAATATTGACGGCCTGAAGATCTACAAATCATAGGTCTCCGTCCCCAGAGATTGATCAGCGAGAATCGAAGTCCTCCACTATGGCTCACGACAATGAATCCGATTCCATTAGTTGCTTTAAATTGAGTAAATTTCATATATTTGCTTCTTTATTTCATCAATGAGGGGGATACCCTTGTGCCTCATGGTACTGTCATAAGACAGCTGAGTCCAGATACTTAGAAACCAAAAGATCAGTCCACTTTCTCTGTATTGCATTCACAGTTGCTGAGCTCAAAGTGGTTTCGGCTTGATCAGTAACCACAAAAGAAACGACTCAATCATGCAAATCCAAATACCAGTTGATCTGAGGTAGATCTTCAGGAAAAATCGAGGATCCCACCACTGACACCAAAATCAGAGTCTCACCATAGCACGGGGAGATAAGTTAGAACTGAGCTTGCTGTCATATAAAATTCTAACAACTCATCACGGGAATACAATAGTACTTCCGGGACACAACTAAAACTTTCACTATGTGTCAAGTAAAGGCATTTTTCTGCCTAACTTGGACTATTTCAATTGTGTGGGGAAATTTTTCGCAAATGCTTTCTTTTCTGTCTACTAAACATGGATTTGGCGATGAGTTCCCACTTAGTACGCAAACTAACAGCCTCAATATTGATGTGTAATTTTGTAAAAAGATGTGGCGTCGTTCATGCAGCGGTATGACTGGAGATGGTTTATAGAGTGTCGTGTACGGACGTAGGTTGGCTTTGAGGGAATAGCGGTGGGTGGGATGAATGGATGGTTACATGATCGCTGTAGCATGAGGTAAAATAATACGACTTGGACTTGACGGATTTCACAGCTATCTAAAATCCAACATCGGCGCTCTAGAATTTGCGTCATGGAGCAATCGATGAATCGATGAGAAGGGGATGGATATCCAACTTCCAATTTCGCAGCCATCCATGGTCATGCCTGACTATCAAACATCAATCTAAATTACCCACCCCCATTCTCAATTGACCATTTGTTCATCCATTCGCTCACTTTAATTTTCAACCGCGTACTGCGTTTGTGTAGTTGAGTCTTCCATCATGATTTATCGCATGTCTTCTGCATCCGCATTCCCAAAATTCCCCATCCATCTCGGCATTCGCTGGCTGCGCAGTGCATACATAGTGTAGTATAGTATAGTATAGTACGGATCCCCACGATCTGCAATGCCGTCGTCGTTCGTGGAGCGCGAACTCTCTGCTCGGATAGCTCATGGGCAGGTGCGGTGATGTGATGTGATGTGCTGTGCGATGATGTGCTGTGCATGGAATTTGCTTGTTGGCGTGGTGGGAGGGGATGGGATGGGATAGGATGGATAGGATGGATGGATGGGGCGCGGTAGGTACCGGATCAATCGGTAGGTGAATTGTGTGTGCGTGGTGGGTTGGGTTTGGATGGAGGGGAGATGGGAAGATCGTTGCTTGAGCTGTGCGTTTGGGGTGCGTAGGCGGTTGTATGTCGGGAGTTGGGGGGATGGGAATTGGGAATTGGGAAGTAAGGGGAGGCAAGGGAATGGTGAGAGATTAGTTGTTGGTGATAGTGATGATACCGGTGTTGGTATTGGTGGTTGTTGACTGAGATTGGGTCTGAGATTGAGGTAAGTGTATTTTGGGCTTGAGAAATGAGGAAGCTGGGGAGGTGTATATGTGTAGGTATGTATATATTTTCAGAATATTCAAGACAAAGCCTGATTTTTCGTTGGTGATGAGTAGTTTGGATGTTCAAGGAGACTGCAACCTGTCGATGGGTCTGGAGGGGCTTAGAGGTTATATTGTACTTGTGGTAGTTTTCAAGAGTGTATTTTGGGGCCAATGACATGACATGGTGTAGTAAGGTACGGTATGGCGTTGAAATTTTGCTATGCTATGGACTACATGATTACTCAGAGAATGAATGAGCTTGAATCTCTAAACTCACTGCAAACTCGATATAGAGATAGATTTTGACATGAGATCTCTCGAATCTAATTTTTCCCAAAACATTCTCAGTCAAGCAATGCTTTTGAGGCTTTATAGCCCCTCCATTTCCTGCGCGAATAGGCGATGTGGTATCGACATATTTACACTGTACAATCATTCACCTCTATCAAAATGCGAGATACTTTCATACGGAGAACAAGCTCCCATATCACACTAAACCGTATACTTGCATGTGTGAGACGATCCCCAATGCAAACCATACCTCGGTCTGCAGGACATGGCTGAGTGTGTGTACTCACTCGTGTCATGTCATCTCATTGTATGGAATATATTTCACCCATTGTCGTAATCACATGTCTTACTCGCGTTCATGCCGAGGATAGGGTCGACATTGCATATGTGTTAGTTTGCGGGGGGATGAATCATGTTGTGTGGATGATTGTGCTGCTGAATCGCGATTCATGTTCATCAATATGTATTGGTTGGCGACTGAGTCTGGAACGCGAGAAAAAAGTATGTGGCTTTTGTGTACTCACGGTATATGATCGAAGAGGTTCCCTGTTCACGTTGCGTTGCATCACAGTTCTGCAAGTCGGTTTTTTATTATTAAAAAAAAAGCCATGCATATATTCCTCCAATCGTTCATATCCGCCCAGCCTGTCTCGACAGAAGATACATCATGTAACCACTATCCGACAATGCTCAATAATCCTTGCTCCCACACCTTTGATTCCAATATTCAACGTTTACTATCGTTCTTGTGATTTTTACTCATCCCAATATCTAGAACTCTCGCTCCCGTACCCCATCTGCTTCCTCTTCTCCTCTTTCTCCCTCTCCTGCTTTCCTAGCTCATGGGTTCTAACTTCGTGAATGATCCGCACCTCATTATCGGGGTGCTCACTAGTATCGCTTCCGGCATGATAGCTCTCGCGTTTATTATCAGTGCTGTTATTTTCATAAAAGCTGTGACGACTGGCATCTGTACCATTAGTACTACGATCGCCTCTTTGCTCACGACCACTGGTAGCCGCCGTTGCGTGCTTGGTGTTCTCCTTGGATCTGGCTGCCTGCTGTACTGGTTTGTTCGAGCCCTTGCGTTTCTTCCTTATTGGAACCGATGGAGCCGGATTTTTGTCTTTTCTTGAGCTCCAGAAACCCATGTTCTTTGATTTCCTTGGGTAATAGAGGTTAGAGGATTTGGGGAGGTGAGGAATGATGATCGAGATTGTTGAGTGTGGGGATATGGATGGAGAGTGAAGCAGCGCTGAAATCGGTGTGATGGCACTAGATTTTCTGGAAATTGTAAAAGAACGGGCCGTCTCGTGTAAATATGGCGTTGTTGTATAATATATATCCTGGAATCTCGATTTAAGGTATTGTATTGATCCAGACCGGTACCAGGTTGAGATAGGACTTTCTAGGGGCAGTGTTCGTGTTGCGTGGAATGCTATACTGTGATTTTTCTAACAGATTCAGATTTCTACTCCATCAAAAACACGGAGCTTAGAAGCTTACTTACCAAGAAGTTGCTTGTTGAACAGACGTTAGTAAAGAACGAGACTATGAAGGAAATGGAACATGGACTAACATAAATAGACAAAAAGACAAGACTCACGTTATGGTTCGAGTCCACGATCAGCGAGACAGTCATATGAGTCTTGAGACTCATTTTGGACGGCCTCAAAGTCAAAGTCTATTTCATTGAGATGACTCCCATGGTTCAAAATCTGTATTTCGGATTGTTCATGATTGAATCTACAATCCAAAGCACAGGATTTTTTTTCTTTCGTTTTTCTCGGTAGTTAATTCAGACATAAGAACTTACTTCCTGCGTAGGTAGTGCCGACAACTAAACAAAAATCCAATTTCCTCTTTCAAAGCTAGTCATCCCAGCTATTCATTGGACCTTGGAGTATGAGAAGATGTCCACTGGGCATTATGAGCCCTTCATATATATTGCCAGGGAATTGTATAAACATAACCATAAATTTGGCACTTCTGATGATGCAGCAACAGCAATTTCGATATCGTTGCTTCCAAGAGTCGTGATTCATCTTTTAGAAAATGACACGAACGGTCGATGATGATACGAAGGAAATAACCTCGTCGATGGGCCAGAAAGCAATTTGAGTAGGTGACCGGCCACAGGAGGTTTATATCGACGGGACCATGACGCTTTGGAGACACCAGTCCATGACAAATCCTCCTAATTTCTTCCCAAAACGGAGTACTCTGAAGCAAAAAGAATAACACAATGAAGAACCTAAAATGCGAATTATCATACCACTAATTAAGTATGGCACCCAGCCATCGACTTGTAAAGCTTCAGTAGGAAGACGAGAATAAGTTGTAGCGCTGGCTGAACATGAAATTCGTCTTGGACTGATTGTGTTCACATCGCCATGTCTTATATATCACTAATTGTGTGCAAGTAAAAGGTGATGGCTGGTGAGGATATATTGAGGCTACTAATTTGAAGACAACTAGATACCATTTGACTAGATCAAAAGTATCACTTTAGGTTCGAGAAGCCTCATTCCCCTGAAACTACGCAGCAGTGTCATGCTTTAATCTTCACAAGAATATTGTTACCGCTTGGAACTGAGATGTATAGTGAAAAATCCTATCGCCTGCATGGGAAAGGCAGACACCGCCATTGATAGCTGAGACTAGCATATATATATATATACAAAAAGAAAGGCACATGAAAATAGAAATGTAATTACCTTAGAGACCACAAATCACAAGTACGGGCATGATCCGAGCAACGACATTCAATAGTGGACAGCGGGCGGAACGGGACTTGTTGACCTATTATCTGTGCCTTATCTATCCGAACAAGACTCGAATCTCTGAATGGATGAGAATCGTGCAATCGTTGATAGAGTTGAACACTAGTTTGCAGATTATTGAAAGTGCTGAACCCTCCTCGAGCCTCCTTGAGATATTAGCAAAGTGTTGCAAAGAGCTGCGCTCACACATGACTGCAATATACTCGAGTAGCATTCTTCTGTTATATTACCAACCACTTTGTATTTTAAACTTCATAGTGACCCAAATGAAGTGTAATCTTACATCAGTTTTCCGCGAAAAGACCTAAGGGTGCACTTATCAAGCGTTGCAGCGTATTGAAGAGGGCCATCGATCCAGGTCCAATGATCAACGGCCTTGGAGCTGATCAATTCACGTATCCAATGAAGATAACAGATACAATGCAGGACCACGGGCACCCACAAGCGGAGAAAAATGGGTGGCTCTCTTGATCTCTCTTTCTCTCCGGAGTCCGTAATAGCAATACTAGGAGTAGGAGACTAGTTTCGTCCATCCACCGAGCCACCATCGCACACAGGACAGGTTCTTTACTAAGTATTTCGTACATTAACCGTTAAGGAGGGGAAAAGCTAAATAAAGAATTGACTCGTAACTGGCGCGCAAATTGTTGAAGAAGGAATTTTAAAGAAGAATGCGCGCGCGTTTGAGAATGAAGTGACAATGCATATAACGCTTCTCAAGTCTCTCCATTCATACACCTCACAATAATGCCTCACATAATATTCTTCTTATCAATATAATTGATGAAAAAAACAAAGTTATAAAAAGTGATCGTCGATGAATTATCATAAAATTTCATCAAAAACCACAAAAGATACGAGGCACAGCAGCCTTTGACCCTTGCATGGAGACGTCGCTTGGGGGCTAAGCCAATACATTTTCTCGTAGGATTACCGTAGGATCAACAACTTCACTTGGAGACTTTCATTTCTTCGACTCTCTTTCCTCCGATCTTGGTCGAAATATGAGTGAACCATCATGCGTTACTCTCTCTTTCTTTCGGTGCTTCTGCCCCTCACATTCGCTCAATATCCACCTGTTTCAAACCTCACTAGAATAACGTCCCCAGTCGATGGGAATATCACCATCTCTTACAAAACACCACCAACAGGCACCTGCCAAACGGTTTTCGATTCTCAAGAACAATATACAGGTTGGGTTAATATACCGGGCAGTTATGCGACGAACACATTCTTTTGGTTTATCTCTGCGAGAGATCCCACAGATCAACTTACGATATGGCTGAATGGAGGGCCAGGCTCCAGCTCGATGATTGGACTTTTTAATGAGAATGGTCCTTGTGAGGTTATTGAAGTAGCACAAGGGAAGTTTGCGACGGAAGCTAGGGATTGGGGCTGGGATAGAGCTTCTAATATGCTATATATTGATCAGGTATGCAGCATCTTGAGTTTGTTTCTCTGTTTGATGGTTCTTTCAATGCGCACTTCTCGAGATTATCTTGTACCAATCGAGATACTCGATCTCAATTGGAATGAATGGATATCCGTTACAGTCTGCCAGGCTCTACACTCTCCAGTTATTCACGAGAGTGTTAGCCAAATGTCACTGTTCTGCCCATGAACGCGCCATACCAACTTCCACAAGCTGACGTTTACATGTGTAGCCCAATCAAGTTGGATTTTCATATGACACGCCCACTAATTGCTCTCTTGACCTTCTCACGTCCGATCTATATACTCCACAGCAGACTCTCCCAAATTCACAGCCCGCGGATACCTTCTTAAATGGAACGTTTAGCTCTCTGAACGTCAATAATACGGCCAACACTACTGAGATAGCGGGAATGGCTATATGGCACATGCTCCAAGGATTTCTTGGGGCCTTTCCACAATATGCTCCAAGTAATAGTTCTGCTATGAATATTCACTTGTTCGCAGAGAGTTATGGTGGAAAATATGGTCCAGCTTTCGCAACCCTTTGGGAAGAGCAGAACGAGAAGCGTGCAAACGGCACGTTATCTAAAAGCACAACCATTGACATTAAACTCAAATCACTCGGAATAGTCAATGGTTGTGTGGATGACCTGATTCAAGCCCCTTATTATCCTGATTTTGCAGTTAATAATACCTTCGGTCTCAGTGCTATCAATCCTACAAGGGCAAAATTGGCGACTGCTAACTTTTACGCTTCTGGTGGCTGTAAGGACCTAATTACACAATGTCGAGCTGCTGTGCAAAAGCAGGACCCTACAAATGAGGGCAATGTCTCAAGTGTTAACACTGCTTGTTCCAATGCATATAACAGTTGTTTGACGAACGTGCTGGAACCATATTATGACGCTGGGAGAAGTGTATATGATATTTCCCATAATCTACCTGATTCATTTCCACCCAGTACATACCTCGAATACCTCAATACCGCGGATTTTCAATCTGCTATTGGTTCACCAGTCAATTACACCGAGACAAATCTGCAAGTCGTTGCTGCTTTCACATCCACTGGCGACTATGAGCGTAAATCTTACGTACCAGAAATAGCAGCACTCGTAAATTCTGGAATTCATGTTGGGTTGATGTATGGTGATAGGGATTATATTTGTAATTGGCTTGGTGGTGAAGCTATATCTTTGGCTATTGCAGAACAAGTCTCTTCTGAATATGCCACCAAGTTTCCAGCCGCTGGCTATGCTCCTATCATAACTAATACTTCTTATATTGGCGGTGTTGTGAGGCAGTTTGGCAATCTCTCCTTTAGTCGCATATACGACGCAGGTCACAGTGTCCCGGCCTACCAACCCGAGACCGCATTCCAAGTTTTTGCCCGAATCATAATGGGTACCTCTCTCTCAACAGGAGAAACCATCAATTCATCAGTCTACAATACCACTGGTCCCCTGAATGCTACACATACTACAAGTCTCCCACCATCCCCAACAAACACATGCTACCTTCGGAATATTCCCGGAACATGTACGGAAGATGAACGGCAGATGATCATCGCTGGGAAGGGGGCGATTATTGATGGAGTACTTTATAGTGATTCCTCAGATTACAGTGCTCCGACTAGTACTATAACATCAGCAGGTTCTGGGACCGCTAAGTCTGCCTCAGTTACCACCACCACAGAAATCCTTACAGGCCTCTTCACTGCCACTGCTACACCTAGTCCTAGCAAATCTTTTGCGATTCCGGTAGCGAGATTGGATTTCGGGATGTTGTCGCTATTTGGCGCAATAGGATTCTCTTCTTTCTTCATCTGAGCATTATATACATGCATGTGAATAGATGTTTAATATTTTTCTCGTCCTTTTGAGCTGAATACACTATGCCATACTTACGGAAGACATTCATGGCCAGAAAAGCTCTGCAACACACAACAATTATACTCGACATTAGCGACATGGAAATCAGCATGGGAATCAGTGTGGACAATGGGCATTCATAATTGGCGCAATCATGAAGGCGCAATGGCCCCAATCGTAGCAGATCGGCAGCAATGATTAACTTGGCTAAATACTCGAAACGGCGTTATCATGGCGTTACAGCACTTTCACATCCACATCTACAGATGCTATAAATCTTCACTTCTTGGACCAAGGTCATTCAGTTACATGGATATATGTTCAACTGGTCACTTCTATGTCTATCCTATCGTTCCTTTCTCGTGACTATACGTACTACGATATGGAAATAGGGAAACGAATACAAAATAAAGAAGTGAGGAAAGAACAGAAGCAGTTCCTATTCTTTCGTCTGCTGTAGGTGGAGGACTTCTTGATCTGGTTGCTGCTCGGGGAATATGATGTTTTACATTTTATATTTATATCATCTGCATGGATTATTCATTATGGCTAACTGCCTGGGTAACTGAATAATTAGCTACCTAGCTAAAGCAAATATGGATGAATGAATAGTTGGATGGGACGGAATGGATTGGGATGGTCAAATGCATTATACCCTATGTATGCGTATCATTATTTTCTTTTTGAGAGAATGGGGAAAGGAGGATTTTACTACGGCGTTTTTTAACTTCTTCTCTTCTCTTCTCTTCTCTTCTCTTTGATTTTATTTTCTGGGTTCGTCTTGGGGTATTGGGTTTGCTCGGGGAATGAGAAGTGTGTGCGTGGATATTCGACGAGTATTCAAAAGGGTGGTAATGGTGTACTGAAGTGCGGTGAAGCGAGGAAAGGGGGGTGAGGGCAGAGAGAGGGAGAGGGAGAGAAAAGGAAGAAATTCTTGATTAATGATGGGGAGATAATGTGATGTGATAGATGGATGGATGGATAGATGGGTGTGTAGTAGTTGAGTTGAATACCTAAGCTACTTACCTGTCTACATACCTATCTGTCTATCTACAATGGAATGGAATGAAACGAAATGAGTATGCCCATAGATAGAAAAAAGTTTTAGTACATATATTTCAAACAACTACAACAACGTACGATCCGATTGATCTTGATCGATACCTAAATATTTGACTCGACACATCGAATCGAATACAAAATCCTACATCATCTAATTAGATTTATCGCTGTGACATACCACGGTAACATGCGCGTGACTATTTGTATGTCTTGTATTGTATTGTATGGTACTGCATGTATCTCTCTTGTTTCCTCCGTCCGCTCCCCCTCCCCCACCCAGAATTTAGATTAGCTATCTATGCATTTCTCCCATCCCTTCATCTAGTATTTCATCTCCAGTTTCTCAGAGGTCTCCGCTCCAGCTCTCAACCACGCCAATACACATCTTCAATCCCAATCCCGACCTCGATAGTTTTACGCACTTCATCAACAACATCCTCTAACAAACTTAAAGAAACCAACAAGATCACAGATGATGTGGCAAATAGAACATGATGAATTCATTTTCCACAGCTCGTAATTTATCGTAAATGCATCCATCACTCCCTGTGAAAAAAACGCCATGGTGATAGGGTATCAAGATCCGACGAAAGCGACCAAACAAAAAGAGAATCCCAGATAATTTTTTCCCCCTTGCAATGCACAAGACTATCTATCCCATCCCATCCCATTTTGTTCCAACCCAGCCCAAAAGTTCGCCATATTTTATTCTGCTTGCCATGCCAATGTATACAAAGAAAGAAATATAACCAGCCAAATCATAATCATGAATTCCCCGAAACGCCTCATAATGATTGTACAACCCATTTCAAAAAAGCAATTGAGCACGTATGAGAGTCAAGGAAAACATGTTCGAATGCCTCAGACACCGAAAAGAAAAGCCAGTTGCTTCTCGTCAAGTCTCCCCACGCTCTTCATAGCACCTTCGTCAAGTGCAGACTCTACCAAGCTCTTTTTCTGTTGTTGCAACTGCATGATACGATCTTCAACTGTTTCTTGTACTAAAATGCGATGAACCTGAACTGGTTTCATCTGACCAATGCGATAAGCACGATCGACCGCTTGCATCTCAATGAATGGATTCCAGAATGGATCGAGAATAATAACTCTAGATGCTGCGGTTAGGTTGAGTCCTGCATTGCCGGCCTTGAGAGAAATGAGCATGATATTACAATCCGGTTTGTCCTGGAACCGCTTGATTGCCTCGTCTCGACGTTTGGAATTGATACTTCCATCGTAGCGCTCGCATTCCCAACCCTTCTCTCCAATGGGCACCTGGAGGAGATCAAGAAATGTCACAAATTGACTGAAGACAATTGTCTTTTCACCTTCATTTTGAAAAATTTCAAGAAGTTCGACGCACTTATCGGCTTTTCCAGATGATTGCCAATTCTTTCGAAGATATCTCATGTACTTCTTGTGACCTGCAATAGATCGAGAAGCCTCTTTCTTCATCATGGCAATTGAAAGATGTTGCTTCTGCTTGTCAACCTCCTTCCCTTTGCCCTTATTTTTCTTCGCCTTTGTCTTAGATTTGGACTTCGATGTTGATTTTGATTTTGACTCGGATGTAGGATCCCTCGATGCTAAACCAATTTCATCGTTACCTTGCTCAGCCTCATCATCTTCGACCTCATCGGGGACTACGAAACCGTCTAAACTTCCATTCTCGTCAACATCATCAGATTTGGTATCAGAGTCGGATTCGGATTCGGTGTCGCTGTTACTATCATCACTACTTTCAACGGCATCGTCGACAGTCTCTTCCTCCTTGACTTCCGGCAATGGCATATGTGCCTTCTTGAAAATTGTGTAGTCGATAAGATTTGCCATGTCGAGCTTTCCACGACAACTTGGACATTTGAGGGCCATGGCACCATCATCATCGCCTCGCGCTGCCTGCTTGGCCTGCTCAGATAAAGCCATCAAACAATCGTGACAATTATCGTGTCCACAAGGGATGATTATACTGGGATTAGGAGTTGCATCGTAGCAGATATTACACTTGGGATGTTAGCAAAGATATCTCCAAATATATATTAATCAACTTACTTCGAACCCTCCATCTGCAGCAAGTAGTCTTGAGACAACATCTGGTTCAAGGGCCAATGCGCGATCAATCATCTGTTCCTCTGTGAGCTCTGCTGAACCCGCTGCGGCTTCTTCAAGATCAATAATCAGATGCGGATGGCAACAACATTGTCTGAGGCGAAGTAGCAAGACAAGGATATTCGAGTAATTCTTTCCAACAGTTCCAGCCTTCCTGTACTTATTGAATTGAAGTTGAGTCTTATCCTTAAGAGCTTGATAAAATTCCTGCTCGTCTTTGCTAAAAACAACATGATCGATATTTTCTACCTTTGGTGGTAGGTTAATAATCGGTTTTCCATCAATTTGAGATTTCTTCGTCCGACGGAGGAGAATGGCCTTCAAAACACCTTGCAGACGTTGCATGGTCTTTCTGAGATATTCCTCTGTATGTGAACCTCCTTTGGAGAGACAGCCGAAATCCTATCATTGTTTACAAAAAGGTCACCTTTATAAATAAGGTATACTGGATATACATACCTTTGTAAAAGCAGACCAATTGTTGTAAGGTCGAATGCGCAGAAATTTAATCAACGAATAAAGGTCGGTAATGTTGTTCATCATCGGTGTGCCGGTAAGGCAAAACCTAGTCAGCGCTCTTAGTCTACAAGCCGAAGCGGCTGATTTTGTGGCTTTGTTCTTGATGCTTTGCGCTTCATCGAGAATCACACGATAGAATCGGCTCCTAGGGCCCAAGAGCGGGAAATCCTTGACCAGCTGATTTGGGTCAGGCTCCGTGATACCGTTTTGTTTGCATTCTTCTTCGAATTTCACAAGTCGATTATACTCCGCAGCCAAAGTCCCGTAAGTTGTAAGGACTACATCATGTTTTCGGAGATCATCCCAAGTAGGTTTCTTGCTGTTTCCATGAGCCATGTAGACACTGGGTTCATGCGTTGGCAATGTCTTCGAAGCTATTTCGCTATTCCACTGGCGAAGGAGGGCAACAGGCGCAACTATAAGTGTAGTCTACATGCTATCAGAAGGCAGTAATGACACATCGTCAAAGAAAACATACCTTGCACGTACGGTCGATTGATGGTCGTGATAGAATGAGTGACAAAGTACTGATTGTCTTGCCTAGACCCATATCGTCTGCTAAGATCCCCCCCTTGTTACTGCCCTCCTCCATTTGTTTCAACCATGTTAAAGCAATTTTCTGGTGCTCATACTGATTACAAGTTAGCAACAAATCCTCAAAAGACGTAACGAAACCGTGACTCAACTAACCAACGGATATCTCAATCCTTCAGGTGTTCCCTCTCGGTCTTCTAACGGGATCTCGACCTCGGCTTTGATATTCTCCAACAGGTCTTTAATCTCCTTTTCAGTTTTTCTCGGATCATTGATGACATGCTCCATTCGTTCTGTCATCTGAGGGGCATATGCGAACGAAGGAGATAAAAAGCCAAGGTTCGATTCAACGTCCGAAAGATTGCCTCGATTACTGACTGTGCCTCGTAAGGAATTAAAATTAGTTGAACCCATACCGTGTTCTGGCATAGAATCGATATTGAAAGCCGAGCCTGGCCCATGCATACTGTTTTCGAGATGTGAAGAATGCATGCTTCCAGTTATTGATCCTGGAACAGTCCGAGGCATTGTGGAATTGGAATAACCGAGGGGATATGCCCCAGGCGAATTTGTATTATTGTAAGACATGGTAGAAGGTGTGCCGTTCATGGGGAAATCTGTATATCCAGCGTTCAATTCATTGTAGGAACTAAATGATTGACCCCTCTCCCACGAAGTTACATAATTATTCTGCTCTCCTACTCGACTTTCATAATTCATTCCATCGGCATGATTTCCTGTCATCCAAGTCGAGGTATTATTGATATTTCCACTTGGATTTTCCATTGCATTTGAAGAGTTTCTGGCCCAATTCTGTAAAGCGGAAACATCCTGTAAGCTGGTGTTTGAACGGCTAATAGCAGTATCTCCCAGAGCGCGGGTTTCTGATGAATAAGTTGGACCTGGCTGACCATAATAGTTGGTAGTCCTCGAAGTTGTGGCTTTCTGACGACCATTATCCTTGAATGCGGAAGGGTCGATGATTTCAATCGATGAATCACTAGCCACATCATCAATGTAAGTACCAGGCATCGTCGATTCTGGAAATGGGTTAAGATTGGAATTCGTAGCAGTAGAAGATCGTTCCTGGTGCATACCTGTAGTACCACCAGAGCCCCAGTCAACGAACCCTGAAGATGAAGGTTGAACATAAGGCGATGTTCGTGGATCGGCCTTGAGACTAGAACTTGAACCCTTTTTCCACGGAAGACTTCTACTTGAGGAACTGTTATTATTATGAAAGTCATAAGTGTTTGACATCGCGGAGGACTTGGCAGCTTGAGTGCCGTGAGAGGTAGAAGCCTGTGCGAGACTTCCGGAATGACCTCCGAACAGCCTGCTGAAAGCGGAAGGCTTCGAGCTAGTGATAGGCGTGTTTGAGACAGGGCTATTTGAGCTTGCAAGGCTACTAGCAAGCTCTGCATCTTGCCTCTCTCTTTGGAATTTTTGTTCCTCTTGCTTCTGGCGTTCGGTAAAGGTGGGATCGAACATTATTATATCATCATCCCTAAGAGTTAGACATATTAGTCTATGCGTTCTCTTATATTTTAGCATTGACGAAGGAACTATGGAATCAAGGGCGATGATAGAACGAGGGACAAACATAGTGAGGTCAAAGTATCCATCACCATTTGCATTATAACCATACCCTGAGCCTCCCGAAGGAGTTGTTGCACCTGTTGCAAAAGGACTCGGTGTTGTTCGCCGAGATTTGATTTCTTCGAAAGGGGCAACCGTATCTAAATGTTTGCTAAGAGTACGCTTTCGAGTAGGGAGGTCAGCTCGATGTGAGCCAGAACCAACCATCGAGGCTCCAGAACCAGGTGTCGAAGCTGTGGAGGATAATGATTCCATTGACTCGCCTTCTTTTTTGACTGCAGGAAAGTTAATTTCGATTTTCAAATTTGAGTTGAGATCTTGAGAAAAGCATGAATAAAATGTAGAAACTATTTCTCAACACTAGCAGAAGAAATAACGAAGGCGAACGAGGAACCGGAGTAAATCTAGTTTCCGTAGCCTCGTATCTAAAGAAATGAATCAGGATAAGACTGACATTGATAGCCAGCATTGCCTCCTCGCCCGACCGCGCTATTCATCTTCGAACGAGGTATATTGGATGGTCGTATGTAGGAGTTATTATGAGAAGTAGAGGAAGCTTGAGCGTGGGAGGAGGAAGCTTGAAGGGTGGAAAGTTTCTTTCTCAGAGTGGCAATCTCAGCCTCGATTTCTGCTCTGCGCGATGATTGATCTCCCGAGGAATCGTTCAAAGAAACTAGATAAACTTGCTGAAGGGTTATTTCATCCGTAAGATTTGCAATGGCTGCGAGAGAATCAGCAGGCGATGGAGATTGCTGTGCCATGGTGAATGCAGGATTCCCTAATGTGTCGGAGAATTTGATGAAAAGTGCAATGCACTGAAAGGCTTTTCAAAACAGTTGGTAGGTATTTTATGCGATTACCCGCGAGACCATACGGTAGGTGGGAAGCCGTGGGTTTTTGTAGTACAAGTTAGCAATTAAAAGAACATTACGTATTTTCAAAAAACCCAGGAAAGAACCAATGTGAAGGAATGAAGAGAAGGGGAAAATGGGGTCCAAAGATTGAAGATATTAGAATGATCTAGAGTTTTGAGATTCGAGATGAAGGAAAATTATTGAGAGAGTTGAGTCGATGACATAGAGAGTTGTGGAGTTGTAGAGTTGTAGTGGAGCTTGGGGTGATTTACTAGGGAATTAGTGGAATTAGTAGGTCTCTGGCTAGTGATGAACCTTCTCTAGTACGGTCGCGTTGCTTGTTAGGGTTTGGATTGAGAGATCAACCCCACCAAACGAATGCAGGAACACTCTTATCGATTAGGGAGGGGGAAACTGGAGATGGAGATGAAGATGGAGATGAAGATGGAGATGAAGATGGAGATGAAGATGAGGACGAAGATGAGGACGAGGATGAGGATGAGGATGAACACGAAGATGAGAATGAAGATGGGGATGAAGCTGAAGATGTAGATAGATAGAGCCACTTAATCTACCTAGATACCTCTAGTCTACCCAGGGACCGAATGAGAACTTGGAAAGATGGACGGATGGAAAGGTTGTCAACATTTATCTTACTACATTGATTCATTTCATCATTCACTTCCATATCGTGGGTAGTACATACGAGAGGTATGATACTATAATAAATAACCTGTAGCACAGCAGCCCATCTACCTAGGTAGGTTTATGGAAAAAGTTAGATACCTGCTACTAGGTATCTCTCTATCGTATTGCACCCATCACATCACAACTTTCTCCCATATCGTACCGTCGAGGGGCAGCCTTATGAGAAGGTTTCCTGTTTCTGGTTCTACCATACTAGGTACTAATTACATTACCACCCCAACCCAGCAACTGCGAATGTCAGTAGATCTTCAGCTCGATGCCCATCAGCCCAATCTTCAAGGAGTCTAACGATGCTGAAAATGTCTCGTTACATATATCTGGACCTTCCTATAACCTTATTTCACGCTTTGATCAAAACGCCGTTACATCTATTGGTCAACGTCGGGAAAAGTCTGATAGCTGTAACTTTGATAGAATTATTATTATTTCATGAACACCTCTGATACGTGGGTTGGGTATATTTTGAACAGATAACCTAGGTACCAACTATAGATACTAGTAAGTAGGTAGTTTATCTTGTCAAAAAGCTTAGTATCTACCTACTTTAGCTTTGATGAACGGATTTCTGTATGTACTCGGCAGTTACCTCTCTAAGTACTCCTTCAATGTCTCGAAGTTTGTAGTACGAAAGAAAAAAACCCCTTGATAATTTTCATATATACTCAAGTGTCTTCGCGATACCATTTCATCCTTAAACCCCTACATTCTGAGTTCCGTCAGATCAAAGGATAGGTTGAGGGTAGACTGTCTTTGATGGTCACCTATCCAGATAAATAGCAGGCTAAAGGTTCGACCATCATACCCGTCCTGGCCAACTTCATTCTTCCCCGAACCTACCTACCCAGTATGAATAGCGAACTCCTAACGATGATCCGTCGATCTTCACTGCTGCAAGCCAAGTTATCGTAAGGTTCCAGGTATATTAACGGAGCCTCACATACCCCAATAGCCGTTATTGAGCCTTACAACCTCTGAGCTAATACTTCTAATACTTCTTTCGACGGCATAAAAAGTATTCAAGTCATGAGGGTAAATGTTTCATTTCGACAAAAGGAAACCCCAAAAATAGAATTCAGACAATCAAGACAAATTCTTGTTCTGAACTCTCATCCGAAGAAAAGACCGTTCATCCCTTCTCATTCTTATGGTCAGCAAGCGACGAAACCAAGTATATTTTGTATTTTGAATTCTGAATTCTAGACCCCACCTGAATCCATCGACATCACATCACATTTTGGTATCACAAGAACAGAGCACGAGAGAAGAAGAGACAGACGACTCAAAAGTCAATGAATAAACCAGTCAGCCCATGTTTCTCACTAGGCGTACCTAGGTAGATACTAAATGCTTACCGTTGGATACAACCCAAATCCTCAGCCAAGAAGGCAGCACTCCCCATCTATGACTCTGATGTTGCTGTCGATAGAGCGAAATTGCAAGTAGGCTGTGGTTTGTGGCTCATATATGTCAAGAGCAGACTCTTTACCATACCTTGGCGGTATCTGTAACCAAAAATTGAACCTTTGCTGCTCCACTCCAAGTCAAGTCTCAAGTCAGTACAGTCCTGCGTCCAACGGGTGGTCCGCTGCGGGAGTGCCCAGGTCGCCAGACCAACAAATGGTTCATCAGTCTAAAGAGGGACTCAGCCTCTCTTTTCTCTCTCCACTACCAACTAAAGCATGAAGTGAAACGCTTTTACTGAACTAGGTACTGACGAAGGAATGTGCATGCAAGAAGAAAGATACAACTGTCCTTGTAGGATTTATCCACCATCCAAATAGGAGATATCTTCAATTACATGTGATGTTGGCGGCAATTATGTTCACCTAATTCGGTTTTCAAGCGCAGCGCTTTTGAGACCCTCGATCCAAAATTCCACAACTTAGTTGGAACGAATCATAATCTTCGATTTTGCATCTTTTCTGGATTGAAGATTGGAAGCACGCTGTTGAAGGACGGTTTGAAGGGCGGCTCACTAGACCTTCAAGTCGACCTCCTTCTTTAGAGCCAGGAAGTAGAGCCGCTGTCGGTGACCAACAGACCCATTTTGAAGCTTACTAGAATGAATACAACTATCTCTCTATGTGACTGACTTATTACAACCCTTCCTTCTGACTTTTTATTAACCTCATGATCTTTTCTTTCCCTGGCTTTTCTTCTTCACACTACTTCTCCTCCTCCTCCTCCTCCTCCTCCCTCCTCCCTGCTACCACCTCGAATATATTGTATCAGAAAGCACCAGGAACTTTGGGCTCAAACCATCATCATCAACCCAACCATCGTACTCTCAAGGAATAACCTTACCCCATTCACATTATACTTTCTCATTCACCGACCTCTTTCTTTAATTTTCGATCTTGTTTTTGCATACGTTGTCACGAATATCACGAGTTTATACGAATTTCTTTCCATTTCTTTTTCGAATTTCCGTCCTCGAATCATTTACCCTAGACGTGTGGTGGTGTTTAACCCTCCAATCCATTCCACCTTCAATTTACTCCAAATTCCAACGTATCAACCATTCCTGGTGTGGATATCTGCACAATTACATCAGACTTGAATTGGACCGAGTAAACCCTCCCGGGACCTTGATATCTATTCAATCGTGTTGAATCTTTATTTACCCCCGTCCAGTCCAGTCCAGTCCAAGAATTCATTGCCAGCCAGCCAATTAAATGAAATAGAAAATCTACCAGTTTTCCATATTTCATATTTCATATCTTATTGCGGGAAACGAAAGATTGGAAAAGAAGTGCAAAGAGGAGAGAAGAGAGAGATAGGACACGAGAGAAAATAAGGAAGGAAAAGAGAAGAGAAGAGAAGAGAAGAAAAGAAAAGAAAAGAAAAGAAAAGAGGATCTTTCTATCATCTTCTTCTCCATTTTTCAACCTGTGACAACAAAGTATTCACAACTTCAATCAATATCTAGATACCTACCTACCTAGGTTGATTGATTGATCGATTGATTGATTGAACGATTGGTATTCTTATTACGGATTACATGCAAAATCCCCCACCAACAATTTCAGCTTTCTATCGCTTCTAGATCTCACCACAATCGAGGAAAAGTCAAGGAAAAGAGGAAAATCCCACTTCAAAGTCATTTTTTCCCAAAATTCGAACCCACCAACAAAGATCTCTTTCCTGCTCACCTCCCCCACCTTGATTCAAGACTTGATTGACTCTTGGAGTCTGATTGATCTCATTTATTCACCGGTAAAACATCTCCATCCAAGCTGGGCACCGGGGCAATCGACCGGGATTGGATTTACGAAACCTTACACACCATACACCCTGCGCACCTTACACACCTTGCACACCTCTTCAACTTTATTCACGAGCCAATTCCAGATACCCAAATCAGCCCAACCGACGCAAGCCCCTCCAGTAGCTCGTCATCCCATCTATTCATTTCTATTACCTTCATTCAATACCACCACCACCACCACCACCACCACCTAACACCTCCTCCACCATCATTGTCCATTATACAAAACCCGTCCATCTTCCAGCCTCGTCATTTTTCTTCTTTTTGATTTTTCTCTCACTTGGCTTCTTCGGTTTCACATCTACCAACCACGTACCCCCATCTACTCTTTGCGTAGATACCTAACCGATTCACATCTCACATACGTTGCTGTATTCTCGACATAATTAAAACACTGCACCATTTCGAATACAAACAAACGCTCTCAATAAGTATCTTGTCCATACAATCAACAATACACGCAACCAAACATGTCTCGACATGGCGCCCCGTCTCGAGTGACGGAATTTGATGAGCGTGATACTTATTATCGAGGGACAGCTCCACCACCAGCTCAAGTTCGAGTAAGAGAGCGTGATCACGAAGAGACTATTGACTTCAGTGCCAGAAGAGGTCCAGAAAGACCTCGAAGACGTTCATTGGATTTCTTACGAGATGATTACACGCGATCAGAACCAGGTCAAATGGTCGTAAGAGAACGCGAAAGAGAAACATTTAATGACGGTCCACTTGTGCGACGAGCAAGATCTCCCTCTCCTCCACGATTTCGTGAGAGAATTGTAAGAAGTGAGGTTGGAGTACGAGAGCCGTCTCCACCAGCGGAGAGAATCCGAACAAGAATTGTTGAGAGAGAAAAGGAAACTCCAAGATCTCCATCACCCCCACCACAACTTCGCGCACGAGTTATAGAGACAAGACAAAGGTTCAGAGAGCGTTCGCCATCTCCTCCAGCTCCTTCTCCAGTCCGCATTCGTGAGAGAATTATTGAGCGTGAAAGAGAAAGAGAGAGAACCCCTTCCCCACCACCACAAGTTGAGAGAATTCACACCCGAATTGTTGAAAGAGAGAGAGAAAGAGAACCCTCTCCATCACCATCTCCCCCACCAACCCCACCACCAGAGATTATTCGAGCACCACCCATTCACCGAGAAATTATTACACATCATCGTCATATTGATCACGGTAAGTTCAACTAGCATTCCCACGATAATTATAGTTTACCCTTACTGATTATTAAATAAGGTTTCGAAAGAGCGCCAGCTCCAAGTCCACCCCCACCTCCCCGTCGTGCCCACACCCCTGCACCACCAAAAACCGAAAAGACTGAAATCGACATTTATCGTTCCGGTAACAATACTGAAGTTGATATCACAAAAACCAAAACCAGTGGTCGCGAAAAGCCTAAATCACCCCCTCCACGAAGAGAATATTATGATGATTCCATCTTATATGAGCAAGAGCGTGATAAGCTACGTGTTAGAGATACCCGCATTGATCTCAGCAGGAGAAGAAGTTTGAGTGCTCGTCCTGATAAGGAGAGAGTAAATCTCGATATCCGAGATGAAGATGAAGCTGATTTCTACGCCCGTAAGGTTCAAGAGAGAGCCGTTATTGGTGAAGCATTCAACGGCGCCACAAAAGATTGGTCAATCATCGATGTTCCTCCTGGAACTGAGAGGATCCAACTAGATGGTGTCGGGGGTGGAAGTCAAGAAATCACTTGGCAGAGATACAATGGTGTACGACGAAGCAAGTTCAATCCTGAGCGTGAGCACAAGAGAGAAGAACCTGAACGTGTCGAGAAGAGAATTGAGATCCGTGAACGTGAGCGAGAAGGTCCTAATCGCACAACTGAGCATATCGAGATTCGTGAGCGTCAAAGTGCTGCACCTTCTCCACGCGAATCGTCAACCACTATTGACATCGATATCTCTAACTCTAGCAGTCGTAAGCCACGAAGCCATGCCAGTGGACCAACATACGAGAGAGAAAGAGAATACGAGCGTGTTGAGGAAAGCTCCGATCGTCAAGTTGGCTTCCCATTACCTCGTGGTCCACCAAAAAGTAGAATGGGTGATTTGTGGACTGAAATCACCAAGGACTTGGTAGCTAAGGAGGCTATCGAGGAACTTGGTTATGATTATGAAGAAACAGAATTCTTCTATTACATTCTTCAATATCTCAGATACGTAAGTTTTCTCCCTGCCTTACTTACATTCCTCGGAGAATATACTAACAACCCTCTAGCAAGATGTCGAGGAACTCGTTGCCCTCTCCGAAACCGTCCGCCGTGAAAGACAAGATCGCATCCGTGAAATCGAACGTGAACGCATTCGCATTGAACGTCGTGAGAAAGAACGCGATGATTGGGAGCGAGCAGAGCGAAGAAGAGAAAGAGATAGTGGCTACGATGATGAGCGAATCATCGAGAGAGAAATCATCTGGGATGATCATAGAAGACGCGAGAGACCTAGCAGACGTTGGTAATTCTTTTCCTATCGCTAGGATTCAATTATCAATGTGAGCCGGTCGATCGAAAGAATCGAAATTTCACAGGGAAATCGCAGACGAAGACGAGAAGAGAAAGCGGAAAGAGAAAAAAAAAATAAACCCAATTCTCTACGAATATGATGAAATGAACCGACGAAACGAACGACAGATGAACCAAAATACGACGTCACGGCTGCTACATAATGATATTTGCGCTTGTACTTGCACCTAGCATTGACTCCCTCCTCATATAGCGCTCCTGCATTTCTTCATTCCTTCTTGTTTCTTTTATTAATTTCTTTTCGATTGATCGATTCGGTCTCTCACTGCGGGGATGAGTGGGAAGTGTCTTCTATCTATTCCTGGATCATTCTTGTTATCTTACCTACATACATACCTCATATTCATCACCGTTCCTTCGTCCAGAAGAAAGGTACTACGTGTTTATTGGCATGGATATGGATGGATAGATAGATACACAAGATTTTCTCGGTGGAGGGATGGAAAGAATGGATGGGAATGATGGATGGATGGATGGATGGATGGGCTTAGTTGGTTTATTTTCTTGTGTTTTCCTTTTCTTTTACTCTTTTTTGTTCCTCCTCTTTGGTTGCGTGTGTTTCTCAATGGATTGTATTTGATTGCTCGTTTTTATTTACTTATGTGTGTTCGGGAGGGGTAGGACGGTTTGAAATGAAAGAGGGAAGGAGATATGTGTGTGGCAGACGGGCAGGCAGGCATACTTTTAACGAATGATTATGAAAATGAAAATATGATTGATACACTTTGATGCGATTGATTTTTTCATTTTTTTTTTTTTTTTTTTTCATTAGATAGGGCTTGAATGGATGGGATAATGTGAGATGGTGTTTCTTATCTTCTTGCTAGAGATATGAGTGATTGAGTGGATTAATATCACATAAACCTAAGAATATATCTTCCCTCCTCCTTTCAATCCCATCTCTTCCATTTCCTAGTCATAGAAATCATAATCTTCAAAACGTCCACTTCCAAACTTCATCTTCATCTTCATCAACTCTACCACAAGCATCGATTCAATTACCCCCTCCCTCCCCTCTTCCTCACCCGTTCAAAACTCTCCCTCGCCTCTCCCTATCTTCGGTGACTTTCCTTTCCTCCTTCCCTCTACCCATCAAGTTCCCAGGTATAGCATAGCATATCCCTAGACAGATCCCCCACATAACTCCCTAAAACTTCGGAATAAACATTGGAGTATTCTCCTTCCACTCCTTGTAGTCTTTTCGATGACCGTATTTCTTATCATACTATTTTTTGGACGGGGTGCGAGTTAGTTTACGTTTCTTTTTCTTTTCTTGTTCTCTCTTTTCTTGCAAGGTTTATCTTCTTCTCCTTTATCGATTTCCATTTTCTGCGTCTAATATATGGAGCACTCCAGATATTTGAGATGGCAGCGCTTCTAGTCTCTGTCTGGCACCGAGGGGCTTCATTATCTGAGATAGACTCTCCTCAATGAAGCTCTAGGCATGGCACTTGCACTCGCAAGTGTTCCAAGCTGTGAACAGTTTCCCTTGCACTTCAGCAGAATAGGTAAGGAGGGAGAGATGCGTTTCTCGCAAAAGGTTCTTTCACCTGAGTATGCAGGTAAGATCTCATTATCTTCTCACCCAGTCTCCCTTTCCACCAGATGCACACCACATCAACAACACCACACCACCAAAAACAAACAACAAAAGAGATGATCAACATACCTTCCCCTCACTCAACGGTACCCCACTAACCTTCAACAACAAAAAGCTCACAAAAGCCGGACTAACTCCCGCAATACCCACTCCTAAAGCTTTTCCCCATACCCCACTCGTGCCCATCCCCAACTGACCTACTCGCCCGGTAAGCACACCCGCACTCAAAACCGCAATTCCGGTCCACAAAGTTGCTTCTCCGAAATAATTGGGGTGTCTACTTTTACTCCACAGACCACTAGTGAGAAAATCCTCATCATGCTCTTTTCTCTTCTTCGCGGCGACCCAGGCGGATTTTTGGCGATCGGCGACGATTTCAAAGGAGAGACCGCCGGCGAAGAGGAGAAGTCCGATGATATCGGTTAGCATGAGAGTGGGGAGGGTGGAGAGAAGAGGATGTGGGATAGAGTTAAGGGCGAGGACGGGGAGACAGCAAAGGGACACCCAAGTTGCTTGGGCGAAGAAGGCGCCAAAGAATTTAGTAGGTGACTTTTTGATTTCGTCGACTGGGAGGGTGTTAGTCAGGTTGTTGAAGGAGTGGGGGAAGGAAGATATAAAATGAAGAGGTAGATATGTGCATAAGTATAAGAGAGGGGGGAGCGGAATTGGAATATGACTTCTCTTCTCGCCCCTCATACATCATAACCAAGAAACGCAGTACAAAAGCAAACCCACAGCGAGAATCATGACCATCCTCCATTATTCTCTTGAAGAGATAACTACCAACTATTTTCTCACAATGTTAGTAACGTGACACAATACAACATACTCCCAAGAAACAAACAATCTCGACTTGTAACACTCATCTCATGAATTACCCCAACCATCAAATAGAGCAGAGCAGCAAACCAAAGACAAAAATAGAAATCAAAGAATAACATACGCCTCGTAGCCCAAATCCCCACGGCCGCACTCAAAACTACCTGTCTCCAATTCAACGCATTGGCACCTCCCGTTCCGGTAAATGCTTCGAGGAGTTTCGGCCACTATTTTCGTAACAGGTTAGTTTTTGATCCACGACCTAGTAATTTACTCTTCTTTTCCTTCCGTTTCCCCCTCGCCTCGCCTCTCCTCCCTCATACACACAAAACTAATCCCCGTCCCAAAAGAAGACAATCCCAAGAACCCCCAAATACAGAAGAAGAAAGAAAGAAAGAAAGAAGACTCACCTCCACACCCCCCTTCCCCTTCCCCAACACCTCCGCCGCCGCCCTCGCCCTCACCGTCGGCAAGTAAAGCGAAAGAGCCGTCACACTCAAATAGGTCAAACTGCCACTCAAATCATAGAAGCGTTCGGACTGGGCCGCGATACTCGGGATTGCGACGGCCGCCTGCAGGAGGTAGGCTGCGCCGACGGCAGGGACCAGCGTGCGGAGGAAGGGAGAGCGGAAATTGGTGAGGAGGAGGAGGGTTTGTGCTAGTGTCATTTTTGATGAGGTTTGGATGTGAGAAGAGCAGGAGAGGGAATTGTATGTAGGTAGGTATGTGAGGGAGGATGTGAAGATGGTGTAATGCGATGAGATGGGATGAGATGGGATAAGGTGGGATAATAGTCCTTAATCTTTCAATCTTTTAAGCTTCACTCTATCTCTATCAATTCCATAAACACCAGTCAGTACAGGAATAGAAAACAAGATATCAAAATATCACAGATCTGAAATAACCCAATGGTAAACCAATAAAACCATCCAATAAAGAACCAAGTAATATACTATAAATTCCCCCTCCCCCCTCCTTCCCTAATTCCCTCTTCCCCTCACTCCTTCCCCTCTAACCTAATGTAGCCTCCCTCTTCGTATTTCATCAAACTACCACATCACACATATTTAACATATGTAATGACGACATAGACTTTTTCGCTCCCTTCACCTGGATTTCTGCCCATTTTTTCAGGCCAACTCAAATTCCTAATTCCTAATTCATAAATTCACAATTGATCGACATAAATATCGATTTTTAACTTCACCATCGGAAAACGGCTTTTTGCATTAAATATTCAATAAAGAATTTATTCCCCTGACGATCGACTTTTTTTAGTGTCGATCAAACCCGAGGATCACTTGTCAATTTATTAGTCAATTCATTTTGACCTCACTGCCAAAAAAGTGAAGCATGATATGGTAAAAAGAAAAATTAAAGAAAACTTCAAAAAAAACATGAATGTATCGTCAATTCTCAATCATTAATTCAATTCTCTTCTCTTCTTGTTTTTGTCTCCATCTATCTACTCCATTGCTTTCTTCCATCTTCTCATCTTCCCTCCATCACTGTGCCATGACTTCCATCCATCCCAATCATATACACCCCAATCCATTTCACCCATACCCATTCATCAATCATCTAATTATTAATATTATAGTAATCGCATTTCCCGACCACTTTGTTCTCTTTCATCCCATCCATCCACAGCTTTGAACCACAAAACACAAACCTCAACGCAGATCTGTATCTGTATTTGGATTTGCATCTGTAACAAATCATTGTCCTTCTCTAGACGCCTTAACGAGTGTTTTTGTTATTCCCACTCCCCAATACCATCAATCAGTGGAATCAAATCAATCATCCACCAAAAATATTCCTCATAAAAACTGGTCATCTGAAAAAAACCAAATCATAGAAGAGGAAAAATGTATAAATGAATAGAAAAAAATCAAAAAAGGCGATGGCAAGGGGTATCTTAACGATATGCCGCGCCAAATGAATTAACAGAAAAGAAAAAAGCACCGGACAAGAACGTAATGTACATAAGTTATTCATAAAGTGGGATAAAACCCATCAACGCAAAGGTTCTTTGACATCTGCTACACCATTGGCGATGACTTCTCTCAACGACCAGCGTGGGGGCTTAACAACTCCTTGAAGACCGTTTGCCCTTTGCCATTCCTTTTCCATTTCAGGTGTAACACCATCAGGTAAATGTTCTGCACCACCGGCTACACCAGTGGAGAACTTGAGCTGAAGTACGTCTCCAACCTCGTCGCAAGCAGCCAAGATACGATCCATATCATCCTTGTTGTGGGCTGCGGAAACACAGAAGCGGGCACGAGAAGAGATAAGTGGCGTGGCGGGATAACCGACAATGACGACGGAAATCTTTCTTCGAAGCATTTCATGGGAGAAAGCAGGCATCTTGGCGGGGTTGTACAAAACAATTGGGATAATTGGTGAATCATCATGACCGTAGACGATAAAGCCGAGGCGCTTCAATCCCAATCGGAGATATCTCGAGTTGAATGCAATTCGTTGTAATCTCTCCTCACCCTGACCAGGAGCGATTTCTCCAGAGATGATTTTCAAAGCGCTGAGAATTTGCATCAAAACTGGTGGGGTAGGTGATTCACCATACATGGTTGCCGCGTTTGTTTGCCTTAATTTATCAATGATATGTTTTTCACCAGAGATATAACCTCCGTTAGCACCGAAAGATTTGGTAAGAGTACCCATAAGGATATCAATCTCGGCAGGATCAATTCCAAAGTAATCGCATACTCCACGACCGTGAGGACCCATAGCACCAATAGAATGAGCCTCATCGACGAAAAGGTTGAACTTGTACTTCTTCTTGAGAGCCAAGACTCCTGGTAAGTTAACCATTGTACCTTCCATGGAGTATAAACCTTCAACTACAACCAAAATCTTCTTCCATGGTCGATGAGTTCTAGGTTGACCTTGAGAGATGACTTCCCGGAGGAGTCTTTCCAAATCATTCATATCATTGTGCTTGAAGGACATGATCATAGCTCTTGAAAGACGTGCACCAATACGGATAGAAGCGTGATTCAATTCATCGGAAATAATGAGTGAGCCCTTTCCAACCAAAGCTGGGAAAGCAGTTGCGTTTGTAGCGAAACCCATTGAGAATACCATTGCAGCTGGTTTTCCAACAAACTTGGCAATTCTCTCTTCGACCTCCAAGGCCAAATCTGAAGTACCGGCGTCTGCTCGAGGACTTGCAGAGCTGATTCCGTATTTCTTGATCGTCTCTTCAACTGCGTCTGCGCATGGTCCTTCTGACTGTGCAAATCCGAGATAGTTATAAGAACTCAAATTCAAGGTTTCTGTGTACGTGCCGGTATATTGATAGTTCTTGTTGAAATCATCAGTCTTTCGGTCAATAAGAGTAATGTATCTACCAGGGACTCCAGTAATTGGACGAGCGAAACAATCATCAATACGCAACTTCAATCTGCGAACATAGAAATTGTCAAAATCACTGTTGAGGGCGGCGTAGCCATTGGCAGCAGTGAGATGTCGGTAGGCTTCAGGCTTGAATCTTTTTCCAAAGAAATCCCGAACATGTCCGAATATGATCAAGACCAAGTAACTTATGTATGTAGTAAGAAGATAATAGTATGGTGGTTCGTCCTCGACTGGATCTTCAAGGACTCCATGATGCTGACTGACATATTTATGACTTGGGTGGTTCAATGGACCAAATTGTGCCTCTCTTCTTGCTTGTAACTTTGCCTCTGCGACGGAAGGTGGTTGAAAAAGTGTCGTAGGTGGTTCATCCATGTTTACCTCACCAGCCTTTGCAGTGGAGAGAGAAATTGTGGGAAGAGATAAAGATGCTGGACTGGGCGATGGGTTATCCAGTAGTCGCTGTTGTTGTGCGGCAACAGCAGAAAGGAGGGCCGCCTGAGCAGATTGTTGTTCCTTGCTCTTTGGTGAAGAGGTGAAGAAATTGGTCAATCTGTTACCCTTTGAGGTCGACGGCCTACGAGCTGCAGGTTTGTCGGATTGCGGTGTAATAGCCGCAGGCGTGATAGAACTAGCGAACGGATTTCGAGGAAGTCTTTGAGGCATCGTGTTCATGAATCAAATACCCTGCTCGAAGCAGATTAGAGTATGTAGTGTTGGGGTTGGAAGCGTAGACTGAATGGAAGTCGTATGCCGATGTTTCTCCAACGATCTGGAGACCTTTGTTTATTGACTTGTGAGATGATTGACTCGAAGGGATATAGAGGGATAGATATCGTAGATCAATAAGGGGTATTCGTAGTCTGTGGGCTATGACGAAGGTGGTTGGCAGATTATTTAACGACGAAGTTCTAGGATGAGGATTTAATATCAGTAACGTGGACAATTTATAATGCAGGGAGAAGAGCTGTGGGGCGAAGCACTCGATATATGTTTTCGAGAATATTGACAGGGGAGAACGATGGAAGAAGACAACGAAGACCTCGAAGACTTCCAAGTAGGATAAGTATATCATAAGAAGTACAGACGTTTTTGTGCCCAGGGCACGATGAGGGTTAAATTGGGCATCGATTTTTAAGGCAATCGAGATTAAATCGATAATTGAAGGAAATTGAGAAAAAAGTAGACATACCAAGGATGGAATTTTATGCTTTAGTGAGTTAGGATTGGCAGTGTGTAGTGTAGTGTGTATTCGTATGTTGTTGCAATATTAAATCGGTGTGAGTTGTGAAATACTTTTTTGGTTGATGCTGAATGCTGAATGCTGAATGTCGATGCTGATTTCTTTAATTTTGCAAGAAATAGAATGGAAGTGATCCTTCTAATGGTAAGATGGTGGTTGAGAGGATTGAAACTAAGTTTGCGACGAGAAGGTAAAACACCGTTTGATCGTTCTTAGTTCTTCGTTCTTCGTTGATCGCTCTTCGCTCTTCGTTTCTTCTCTCCTCCTACGTGGAAGATACAAGGCTGGCTAATCGGTCACCGCGGTGAGAGGTTCTCGCCAGGGAAAGAGGGACGAGGTGTGGCTGGATCTGAAGCTATCGTGGAAGAAGTTACTGTAGACACTCCAGACACTCCCAAACACTCAATTATAGTTTCGAAAGTGCTACTCGAGTAGGACTTCTCTCAATCGATCCTTTGTAGAAACACACCAATATAGTCTGGCTTATGCTGTCTTATTATTATAATGATAAGTAAGATTGACAATCAACAAGGCAGTTCCCTTTTGGATCAGAAGAACTTCATAAAGTTTCGATGTAGCATGTAACGGAGGATCACAATTCGCAAAAAAAACGGGAAGAAGAGTGAAAATGTGAAATAAAGGAGAAGAGATATGGATTTTTAGGTTACTCGAGGTAAATGAGGTTCAACATGGGTTAAATCTACTAATTGTGTGATAAGTTGGTGGTACCCAAGAGAGCCTTTGAAATCTTCTGATGAACGATGATCAATGCGGCTTGTGGCTCCGTATTAATCTATTAATCTAGACTTTATGAATATGAAGAATACTTTCGGAGAATGAGCGGCGATGAGTATCGATGAGCGACGGAAGGATCGAATAATTCTAACAACAAGAAGCTAATCGTCCGGTGCATCCGTCGTTTTGCACATTATCCTTACCTTGACTTGTCGTGCCGCTTTACCTTGATCTTTCGCTCGGGCACGTGTCGGGGAAGATGTAACTAGGGGCGAACTTCTTCATCGTCCGGTATACCGTATACCCTTCGTTGATTACATACACATTTACCTATATCAAATTCTCAAATTCACTCGCCGCCTTTAGACTCAGTTAACACAGTCTGCGGTCTTTTTCAAATCCCGATATATCTAATTTCCTTTTTTTTCTCTTTTCCAGGATGGAAATGGCTGGAAGCGTTAGATAACCGTATGTGATTGGTCCCAAACACAAAAAAGAGTGGTTATCTGGATCCGTTCCGCTTTTCCATTTTTTTTTTTGATTGACTGGTAGGGCTG